CATACAAGAATGCGCTGTTGCCAATTTCGCCAATTCAGCAGCCGTCCTTGCCATTGTAATTGCATTCAGTCTAGCCAATCTAGTCCTTCCCATTTGACATTCTCCGAGTTGAGCCGTGCAGAGGTGAAAAACTCAGCGGATGGGGTCACGTTCCCCTGTCCAAAAGTGTCGGAAAGATGCAGCCGTCCTGTCGGGAGCCATAAGACGCAGTGAACAAACGCGGGGGACATAAGCAAGCCCAACCTGTGTCGTCAACAAACACTTCTCAAGAGAAGGGAAGAAAGGCAGGATTTCCAGCCCAAACTGTGATCACGTGACAAACCAGTCGTGGCAGACTGCAGCCCAGAGAGAGTCCTTCCGATTTGACGTTCTCGGCCAATTGAGCTGAGCGGCAAGGCCAGCTACATTTAACCTGGAGTGGGCTGTAAAATGTTGAAAAAGCATTGGAGGAACCGCAACAAGTGACGATGGGCGTTAAAGGGCCCATACTGCCAAAAGGAGCTTGTTAGGAAAGTTGCAGCAGCAGCAGCAAGCGAGGAATCTTCTGTAAAACAAATCTCTCTCCTGCATGTGTCATCAACGAACACTTCAGCCTCCGCAATGGCAATCAGCTGCTTAAGCGAAACAATCCAAGATTCTATCTTTGGCTTTCGAAAACGACGGTTCCTCACTTCCTCAAGAGAAAGGAGCACGGGCAGAATTCCCAACCCAAACTGAAATCACGTGACAACACAGTGCGAAAGTTGCTGTTGTCGCTTTTGCAGGACCGAGTTTCAAGCAAGCGACCAAGATAGACAGGTAGTGCTCCACGGCATTTGTACCAATGCTGCCTTGCTTGAAGAAGCTCTGGCCTCAGAATTGGAACTTAGAAAAAGAGCTTCTTGGGCACATGGAAAAAGATTGAAGTTGCACAACCATACAAGGATGCGCTGTTGCCAATTTCGCCAATTCAGGCGCCGCCCTTGAACTCTTAAGATGTGCCATGATGTGCCATTTGGGTTCACTTTGCTGAGACATGTGTTCAGCCGCTCAAGAGTTCCAAGTGTTGTTGCAGGGTTTGTGTCCCAACTCTCGCAGTTTGCAAGCCGGTTGCCCTGAGAGAGTCTAGTGCATCCACTCTTGCCCTTACTCTGGTCCTCTAGTCCTGCGCAGAGCGAGCTGGCAGAGCGCAGAGCTGTAGGCACATTGATGGTTGAAGCTGGCGATGTTCCCACAAGAACAAGACTTAAGTTTGACCTGTTCTATGGCAACAGTTCCCCACTTCCATCAGGCCACCACACGCTTCAGGTGTTCTGGAACAAACATCGCGACATCCACTTGCGCCTGGCGCTCCAGGGAGCATGTCGGATTTTGGTAGCCACCGTGCGCAGGCATGCTGCATGCTGGAGTTAAGCTTCGCTTGAGCCATCCAGAACATGTTCTGGTACTTCTCTTGGAGTTGTAGGAGCACCAGAACCACTCCGCCAGACAACATGTCACGAGGCATTGGCGCTGATGCCGTGGAGAACGATGCCGATGTGCATGGACTTAGTCGTTAACTTCACAAGAGCCTGTAAGAGGGAAAACTCGCCTTTTGATGGGTTCCCAAAGTTACATGTCCGGTTTGTACCAGAAAATGATGAAAACACCACCTAAATCAAGAACACTGTTCTATCGCGGCCAGCTGCATTTAACCTGGAGTAGGCTGTGACATGTTGAAAAAAGCATTGGAGGAACCCACGCCAGTCCAACAAATCATGATGAGTGTCAAAGGACCCACACTGTGCAAAAGAAGCCTGTTAGGAAAGTTGCAGCCAGCAAAGGGACCTTCTCTAAAACAAATCTCTCTCCAGCATGTGTCATCAACAAACACTTCAGCCTCAAAAAAGGGGAACAAAGGCAGGATTCCCACCCCAAACTGAGATCGCGTGACAACGCAGTCTTGGAGTTGGCAGAGTGCAGCGCAGAAAGAGTCC